TTATTTTTTAAACAAATTTTTCTCCATGCCTCCTAGAGCAAATTTAAAAAAGTATAATGAAGCTCAAGGTTTAATCTACAAAATAGACATCATAAGATAGTTTAAAACAGGTTTGTTTGTATCGTGTGTGTGCGATTAAAAATGCGAGAGCAGGTACTCTATAAGATTAAATTTTACATATTTTTCATTAAACATACGCTGCATTGTTTAGTGTTTTACTTGGAGAGGGAAAAAATAATCGCATTAGGAATTGTTATTTACAAGGTTTGAATTGAAAATATTTTATCATTCGGGAGAAACTAAAGTGCTTAAGTTACCTAGTAAGCTTGTCATTCCCCGGTCTCCCCTACAGTCAAATGTGGTAGTGAAAGAGTTTAATAGTTATCACAAGATTAGAGTATTCGGATTCCAAAAGGTCAAGTGACTCTCGCGATGTATATAGTCACTTGGGGGAAAAACAACACAGGACTTATGGGTGCCATTCTATTTTTATTTTTTTTTTACACGTTTAACGATTGTAATACGATAAAAGCCTTTCAATAACATATTTTTGAAGAGATCACAATACCTTAGCTATTTTTTCCCAACTCAATTAGTCTTTTGCAACTTAAAACTTTCCTTTGAAAGTACGAAAACGCACATTTAACCTGTACAAAAGTCATGTTTATACACCTATATATATGTAACGGCAAGAGGGATTTGTACAGGTTAAATGTGCATTTTTGTACTTTCAAAGAAAAGTTTTTAGCTGCAAAAGACTAATTGAGTTGGGAAAAAATAGCTAAGGTATTGTCATTTCTTCAAAAATATGTTATTAAAAGGCTTTCATCGTATTACAATCGTTGAACGTGTAAAAAAAATAAAAATAGAATTGCACCCATAAGGCCTGTGTTATTTTTCCCCTAAGTGACTATATGTACTGAGAGAGTCACGTGACCTTTTGGAATCCCAACACACCACAAGTTTCAAGTCTGGCACTACCATTTTTATTTGAGTGCATATACACACAAGCCCCTTAACTCACGAAATAGAAAAAAGCGCAATAGCTCTCATTGGCTATTTCTATGCCGCTCGTTTCATAGCCATTGTGTCGGTCTATTCCGCTCCATGTGATTTCAGCATTTTCAGCCTAACCGGCGATGAGAATACTGGCAGACGACAAGAACAACAAGAAAAGCTTACACCAACGAATATAGACGCTTACAGAAGCCCACTTCTGTGTTAAAAAGTGGCGAAGAGTTTGTTGGGTACCAAGATAGTAGTTGTGGTACCCAGCCTCGTAGAGGCGCTGGTTGCTGAGCGCTCTGAATTAATGAGATACATGCGGGAATTTCAAATTTCAAATGATGCAATGAGAAACTTTGCGCATATTATTCCTGATTACGTGAAATATATACCTATGTACATATTAAGTTTGTACATGATTTAATGTTTTTCAGTACCAATGTGTATTTTCCTGATTATTAATTGGTCAATGGTCCATCCGACGTGTACATGTACATATTCATAAGTATACTATTATACATTATCGTGAAGGTAGCACGGTAAAGAGAATACCAATTACATTTTTAAATTGTATTTACAATAACAATCCCTACATTGGCTATCTATTAGTACATATTATAATTTTTTATTATTCATTGTGATGACAACATAGTACTGGTGAGAATAATAGGTAGACTATTTTTTCGAAAATGTAGGTAGCATTATCAATGATAATTCTCACATTTCTATAAATTTGACATACAACAAATGCATGAGCTCGAAATTCGTAAACATTATTCGGACCGTTTATAGCTGGTTTTATCAATGATTGAAATTGTTTTTAATGTTTCCGAATATTTTAGTGTTTGTTTAAGGATTTTTATCCATTTATAATTTATTTATATTTATTAACAATTATTGTATGTACAGTACAATGAAAAAAATTTTTTTTTGACCATTGTACTTTTTAATATTATTTGTGTTAACGAAGTAAAGCTCTCATTGGGTTCGAAAAAATTTTGAATTATCGCCTACTACTGGTTCATTCAAATCCCGCGCGCATATTTCGACCAATAGCCGGGAGCACACTCTGCTCTATCTCGTTTTATTATTGTTTTGACAAGTTTATGCAGGATTCTTGTTTGTGAAAAAAAATTGCTCGTGTGTCACTGTCAGGAAGGACGCAGTCAAGAGATTTTGAAATTGGCTGATGAACGCAGTAAAAGTATTTTAATCCGGTATTGTAAAATATTTTGTCCAGTGACGGATAAATTAACAGTTTTTTGTATGTTTATGAGAACGAAAAATGCCTTCACCCCGTATCCAGTGTTCTTTTATAGACTGTTGTAATTCGAAACAAAAAACACCATCAAAATCGTTTCACAGATTTCCCACGGATGACTCCCGGTACGTTTTTTCTTTATTGTTTCTACCAGTGCAATAAATATTTCTGATGAAAGTGCAACGTTGTGATTGTTTCATCATGTACATGATGATGCTAATAACTTTTGCGCACATATTTCCTTATGAGAAATAGGATAAAATATCGAGACAGGGATATTCGTTTTTAATACAAACGTTATAATCGATTTTAACACAGGCGTGATCAGTGGATTAAAAACATCGGAAACATACATCTTGTGGGACTGGAAAAACGACAGTTTGACAACAGACGAGTGTGCAGTGATCACTTCGAGGAAGACAACTATTATTCCAGCAACGGAATAAAAAAACTAAAAAATTCGGCACTGCCGCGAAATTATCTTGAGGACACGATCCCAAGTAGTACTTCACAACAATGTGACGTAACGAATTTGAACGTAAATAGTTTATCTACTCGCAAAACCGTACATGCAGACAGCAGCAGAACATCGAACTTGTATCGTGCGGAAAATCAAACATCCGTGTCTCAATCAGTTTCCATTCATTCTAGTATCGTTGATATGAATGTTCGTTCTCAATCAGTTTCCATTCATTCTAGTATCGTTGACATGATACGTTGCTATGAAATGTTTGGCAAAATCTGGCTGCACTGATTGTAAATCCAGTTTAACACGGGAAAATAAGAATTTTGATCAGAATGACGATTTATTAATATTTTTTAAGGCTTACAAAGTTTTTCAAACTACAAATGAACTCGGCAATCTGTGTGTACCTTCGAACTCGTTTTTTAAAGTAATCGTGGTATGTATTGAAACATTTAATTCGACTTTTAATAATTACGCTCATACCGAAGATGTAGGTAAAATGTTGATCAAAGAAATAACATCAAGCATAATAAATCAATATTCCGAATTTTGGCTTGTTGAAGAGCCTTGTCAATCCCATCGCAACGAAGTCATTGCATATTTTGTTAGAGTTCACATTTTTTATAAATTAAAATAAACGAATCGTGATTTCATAGATGCCAAGAAAAAAAAAAATGTTGAAAAAAAACCGAATGCCAAACTGAAAAAATTAAGACATGAATAATCCTATTAGCAAGTAAGTACGTGTTCCGTTTGTTGAAAAAAAAAAAAAATTTGTGATTCGTGAAAAGTAATAAAATAATAAGGAAAATTGTAACTCAAAAAAATTTAAGATATAGTGAGTTAAGATTGTTTTTTTCCCTTTAGCATAATAATTTGAACTTTATTGCGCACTTTCTTGTTGATTCCAGAAAGTTGTTTCTTTGCGATTTTTATATATTAATTCTAAAAAGTATTTATACGTCCATATCATTATTTGTATTTTTTTATAAAGTTTTAGATTTTTTAAGTATTTCTTGTTGTATTAAAATTTGACAAAAAAAAATAAAACCAGGCTCAATAAATTATTGATATAAAGTGTGACTTAGTAGTTATTAACTGGATGTAGTTTAATTAATACTTGGTCATATGATTTAAGTTACGAAATTGTTAATATTTCAGAGTAACAAACATTTTTATTGCTCAAAAAAGACAGGGAATAGCGTTCATTAGTTCATCAATGAGATTAACTTGATGCATACAAACTCACCATTTCGTATAGAATCCAATATCTTACGGGCCTTTGTTTGTGGTTGTTTTCTGGAATTATAATAAGTACTGCGAGCGATAAGAAAAAAAAACTGCAATTTTCGCAAAAAAAAAAAAAAATGCAGCGAGCGAGATTCGAACCTCTGACTGCCGATTGGAAACAAAAGGAACCCGCACCAACCAACTAAGCTAACTACACGCTTAGATGTCTAGGATTAAAAGTTGCATATGTTTATCGCAAAGAGCCACAGCTTGTCCGACAGTTAATTTCATCTTGTATTAGGCATGATTATTCGATTGTTCCCCTACAAATTAGCTAAAATATATCCAGGTCTTTCCGTCACCCGTTTATCTGCTCAGCTTAATGAGAAGATGTGCTGGCTTGATATTAAGCTATAGTACATCCACGCGTATTTCGCGAGATTGGGGCCCTACTATACCAAATAAATAACGTTATAAGCGCAACAATTTTGTATTTAGGCACGTTCTCGTACTATGATAACGACTCACGCACTATAGACACTATTACTTATTCCCAAATAGTACATAGAAACGCCATCTACTGTCTACTTTTAATCAGATTTTTTTTCGCCACCAGTCCTATGTTGAGTGGGCTTCTATAAGCGTCTATATTCGTTGCTTACACGGCGATGGTAACCTCAAAAGCCAAAAGAAAGAACCGATGGTGACGCACGCTTCTTGAAGACAGGTTGAAGTAAAGAAAAAATGTGTGAATCGAAGGTTAGTACGGCAGTGATGGAAAACAAAACATAATGACCAGCGGAAGTCGCAGAACGGTAAAGAAGACGGTACGAGTAGTGTTTTCCACATTGGTAAGGTGACGTTTTTGCATGTTCGAGCAACAGCCAAGAATCTGCCTTTGCTTGTTCTCGAACGTTGTCGGATGTTTCGATACCGATACCTACCGATCGATGTCAGCCTCAATGTATTACTTCGTTCAAAACGGAACAATATTCTCTGGTCATAGTCAGAGTGCTAAGTAGTGTTAATAGTTTTTCCTTAACTCTAGAAGCCAATGCAGTTTTAGTTGTCCAAGCTGATCATGGACAAAAATTTTGACGTTTGCACTTTTTAAGTTCAAGTTGAAGGAGTAAGAGCATTAATTTTATTTTTAAATAAGTTTAAATTCCAGTATATAGAAAGACTAGGTAATATGTATTTTTAAACAGTTGTCAGTAGAATGTAGAAATATTTATTACTTATTTTAGAAACAGAGTTCTCTAACAAAAAATTTACATTTCAGTAGCAAATCAAATGATTCATAAAATCGACACTTTTATGTGACTTTTATCTCAAAAGAATCCCAAAACCATTCTAAAAACTTTGAAATTTAAGAAGACTTTAGAAACTGCAAGTCTTTAAAATTTCTTCAAAGTTTCAAAAAACTTTGATTATTATAAATTTTTTTACTGACTTGGGATGCAAAGACCTCTAAACATTCTTGTACTTTATCATATCTACTTGGATA